CTGTGGTGTTGGAGAAGACTCTTGAGAGTCCCTTGGACTGCAAGGAGATCCAACCAGTCCATCCTAAAGGAGATCAGTCCTGTGTGTTCATTGAAAGGACTGATGCTGAAGCTGAAACTCCAATACTTTGGCCATCTCATGCGAAGTGTTGACTCATTGGAAAAGACCCTGATGCTGGGAGGGATTGGGGGCAGGAGGAGAATGGACGACAGAGTAGATAAGATGGCTGGATGGCATCACCAACTCGATAGGCATGAGTTTGAGTAAACTCTGCGAGTTGGTGATGGACAGGGCGGCCTGGCATGCTGCAATTCATGGGGTCGCAAAGAGCTGGACATGACTGAGCAACTGAACTGAACTGAATGACTGAACAACAGCAATCTCTGACTCAATGGGCATGAGTTTGTGCAAATTCAGGGAGATAGTGATGGACAGAGAAGCCTGGTGTGCTGCCATTAATGGGGTTGCAAAGAGTCGGACATGACTTAGTGACTGAACAACAGGTGAAAACAACATTGTTATCAAATTGGTGGGTGTTAACAACAGTTTTTAAAAAGGTGTCCACGATATGTAAGAATCATCAATGGTTAGAAAATCATGATGTTTGATATGAAAGTACTATTTTTTAATTCTGACAATTAAAATCGATCACATTTCCAGAGTCATTAATTTAGTAAATCCACAGGAAGAGGAGAGACCAAGGTAGCCATGTCAGATACTGGCTGCTGCTAACAAATGGCTTCAGGATTTAACTCAGAGCTGGTAGCCTTTGCTAACTAAGTTCCTAACCTGCTGAACAATCTGACCTGAGTGTGCGCTTCTGAGAAATTGGAACTAAAGGAGAACGGAGGTAAAAGATGGTCTCAATAACATTTGAAGTTGTCTTTGGGACCGTGAGCAAGGTTAAGTTTTCTAAGATGCTTTCCATTAAAAGTAGCTAAGAATACACAGAACCTAAAAGTGTTAAAATATGAAATAAGGTTTTACATTTCAACAACCCAGCAGTATATATTGATGTATGCAGTAAGTTCTCAGCAAATGGTAGCTATTAAAATAAACATTATACTAATAAAAATGAGCAAACAACTAGAAGTGTATATTTAGCTCAATAAAATACAAATTAAAATGATCTTTTTGGCCTATCAACTAGGGAAGTATTAAAAAACAATAATATATATTGTTGGCTATACAGTGAGCATGCTTATACACTGCAGGTAAGTATGAATATAAATTGATACAATTTTCTAATGGACAATTTGGCAGTGTGTATAAAATACTGAAAATAATAAACATCCTTTTGAAAAGGCCTACTATTTCTAGGAATTTAACCTAAGCCATTTTTTAAACGTCTAAAGATGTATCTGCCCACGCACGTTTCCTGCACTGTTGATTACGTGTGAAAGTGAAAGTGTTAGTCTGTCAGTCCTGTCTGACTCTTTGAGACCCCATAGACCATATCCTGGCAGGCTCCTCTGTCCATGGAATTCTCCAGGCCAGAATACTGGAGTGGGTGGCCATTCCCTTCTCCAGGGGATCTTCCTAACCCAGGGACTAAACTCAGGTCTCCCACATTGCAGGTAGATTTATATGTCTAATAATAAAAGTAAGCAGATTTTTTTAAAAAATAATTATATTAAATTACAGTATAATCACCCAATGACTTTTATGCAAACATAAAAAGTCATGATATGATCTTAAGACCTAAACGTAACCAGTGTAAAAAGTGAAACACAGGAATGGTTATGTCTTCTTTTCAAAAAAAAAAAAGATCATAGCTTCTATCCTGGTTTAAAATTCAAATGAACACATACACCCACATACACCCACCTCCACACCACACACACACGGGCTCACTGTTTCTCTAAGAATTTGTCCCAATATTTGTTTTCTTTTGAACAAAGTCTTCTTTCTTTGGTTTAATTCAACTGAATATAGCATTCAAGCATCTCACAGCCAAAGACACAGCCAATTCATGTCTACATTAGCTTTCAGCATTAAGAGCTTCACTAAGAATTTCAAAATAGCAAAATTATGTCTCATAGTGTTTGAATGTCTTGTGGGAAAGCATCTTTAGGTGGGCAAACTGTATGTGAATTTAAGATACATAATTGAGCTCTATAGAGGTGAAATGGTTTCCTCAAACGAGTCTCAGAACTTTATATTACACCAAACTAAAAAAGTTGCACATCAGAGATCCTGTATTGCGATGGTTCCCAAAACATCCTGAAAATGAGGATCTAAGACAAAATTGCCAGCTTTGAGGGAGTAGTAATACCCATATGTGACTTCCGTGCATTTGTCTGTAACACCTAAATAAGCCTGTATTCTACCTGATGTTCAGTAACTCATCAAAGATGCTTCTCAGATCTCAGGGCTAAGGAGAAGTGGTGTCTACCCTGATGGTTTGCTTCTTCTTAGAAAACAAAAGTTAAAAGAGCCATCATTTTTTTGTCCCCTTTGACATTATTGTTAGGAAGAGATGTTTTCAACAGTTCAGTCTTTCTCATCAGGGTGTCTCCATATGCCCTGCCTCACCCAACACCCTTTATATGACTCAAAAGAGGTGACAAGCGAAAAACTAATCTCAGGCGGAGCTAATTACCTCGGCTAATTCCCAACAGTAAAGCGCTCTGCGTCTGACAATTTTTCCCCTGCAGTGTGTGATCTTTTGAAAAATCCTGTGTGGTAACCAGTATTCCTTCCCTCTTACTTCCTTTATTACAATCTGTAAACTGAAACTCAGAGGCTTAAGCAGTGGACCAGGATAAAGCAATCAGTAAGTGATGGAGCCACTTTTGCTCCAAAATCTATGCATTTTCCACTGTGCTATGTTCTTCTGATATAAAATATACCATGGAGTGAATTCAGTCTTGACAGAATCTTATAAGGGAGAAATCTTCTAATACAAATTACTTTCCTCTCAGTCTATTTTTCACTTGCTTAATTCCATTTCCTGAATTGTTCCTACACATTTGTATCTAAGACATCTTCCAGAATTACCTGTTACAAAATAAATAATTTATGATTTCCCACTTTTAATGCACTAACACTATGTTCTATAAAGTACAAACAATTTATTCTCCCCTCCTATCTCTAAGGATAATTCCTTCTTTATCAACAAGGCAAATAAAACAGAGTGTATCACCTGAAAATTAATTTGTTGTTGTTGGTGTGGGAGTGGAATATAGAGATTTCCACTATTTTACTTGGTATAGCTAAGAAATGGATTAACTATAATCAAAATGACATTGTTCTGCCTATAATCAAAATGACATTGTTCTGCCTACAGCTAGTTGCCAAAGGCCATGTGAAATTCAACCAGGAACTACATGCAACAAATCTTGTATGTCATTGTTCCAGACAATACCTTAACATATCAGAACCCAGGCAGATAATAAAAATTGTAATAAGTGTTTATTTACAGTAAAATGTAGCAGCCTATAGTGTGGTTTTTTCAGTCAAATAATGTCTTTGTAACATTCAGATAATCCAGACATAGTGTTGGGCCAATATAATTCCACAGCATTTTAAATCACATTTTAAATCACTGGACTTCTCTGGCGGTCCAGTGGTTAAGACTGTGATTCCACTGCAGAGGGCATGAGTTTGATCCCTGGACAGTGGACTTAAGATCCCACATGCCTTGCATTGTGGCCAAATAAACAAGTAAATCATATGCAAACTGATATATTATTTTTTATTTTCAGCAGCATTCTTTTTCATAAAATAACCAAAGACTCCCCAGTTTTACTTCTTAGGATAGCATATCATTTAATAACCTTCAGATATGTTTCAGTACACTACCCTTTATCCAAAATCTTACCTCTGCTCTTAACTCATAGACCACTCTGTCATTGCTGTTTGGAGATTTTGATTCTTCCCTTCTAAGTCCTGATACTTCTTCCATTTCATTTTTATGTTGACCATGAAGAATGTCAAACTGCAAAAAGAAAAAGTCATAATCACAAATTACAAAGGCTGGTTCCAGGATAATTCATATTAGTTTTTCATTTTGCTTTCAGTTTCTTTTATTGCTATGTGGAGTCTGATAGGGTTTGTTGTTGCTATTGTAGTTTTTGTAGTTGAACCGTGTATTTTCTTACACTTACAGCTGAAAAATCCTGTATTATTGGAAAAGCAAATCAGCAAATCTTCATTAATCTAAATCCACCAATTGAAAATTAGGCAAATCTTTGTTACCTCCACAGATTCTTAATAATTGACCAACCGGATTCTAAACTAATCCAATTAATTCTGACCTTTCAGTCTTGAATGTTAGTACCATAGTACTCTCTGTAATCCTACTTATGTATATTTGCTATGAAATATAAATAGTGTATAGATCGTAGCAGAGATAAATTTGGGCACTAGAAACAATACATCTATATGACACTCAAGTTTGTTAAGACATATGTAGACCATCTATAGAAGATGCCAATTAATTGCCATAGAAAACTATGGCAGGAAAATAATAAAAACAAACTCTGGCACATGCAGACAATGGAATATTGTTCAACACTAAAAAGAAATGAGCAGTCAGACAAATGAAGAGACATGGAGGAAATTTAATGCATATTACTAAGTGAAAGAAGTCTATCTGAAAAGGCTACATACTGTATGATTCCAACTTTATGACATTCTAGAAAAGGCAAAACTATGGAGACAGTAAAAAGACCAGTGGTTTCCAGGGACTGGAGGAGGAAGGGATGAATCGGTGGAGCATAGAGGATTTTTAGGGCAGAGAAATTATTCTGTATGATACTGTAATGATGGATACATGTTGTTACAATAGTGAAGGTCGCTCAGCTGTGTTCAACTCTTTGAAACCCCATGGACTGTAGCCCACTAGACTCCTCTGTCCATGGGATTCTCCAGGCAAGAATACTAGAGTGGGTTGCCATTCCCTTCTCCAGGGGATCTTCCTGACCCAGAGATTGAACCTGGGTCTCCTGCATTGCAGGCAGATTCTTTAACATCTGATCCAAGAGAGAAGCCCATGTAGTTATACATATATAACATGTTACTATATATTTGTCTAAACCAATAGAAGCCTATGTAGTTATACATGTATAACATATTGCTATATATTTGTCTAAACCCATAGAATGTATAACACTGAGTAAACCTTAAAGTAATTTGGGTGACTGGATGTCAATAAATGAATAAATGGGGTGAAGGATTTTGATAATGGGGGAAACCACATATGAATGTGGGGTGGGAGTTATATGTAAGTTAAGTGTAAGTGAGGGCTTCCCTGGTGGCTCAGAGGTTAAAGTGTCTGCCTGCGATGCAGGAGACCTGGGTTTGATCCCTGAGTAGGGAAGATCCCCTGGAGAAGGAAATGGCAACCCACTCCAATATTCTTGCCTGGAGTGTCCCATGGAGGGAGGAGCCTGGTAGGCTACAGTCCGTGGGGTCACAAAGAGTCGGACACGACTGAGCGACTTCACTCACTCACTCACTCACTCACTCAAGTGTAAGTGAAAGTCACTCAGTCGTGACCGACTCTTTGCAACACTATGGACCTTGGTCAACACAGTCCATGGGATTCTCCAGACCAGAACACTGGAGTGGGCAGCCTTTCCCCCTCCAGGGGATCTTCCCAACCCAGGGATCGAAAGCAGGTCTCCCCACTGCGGGCAGATTCTTTACCAACTGAGCTATCAGGCAACACCACCTTCCATTCCATCTTGCTGTGAACCTACAACTACTGGGGAAAAAATAGTCTATAGAAAGAAACATAAGAATGCGGAAAATCCTAGAAATGCAAACAATGATTTTTCCCTGTAGTTGTTCTTATAATTAGAAGTTTTCAGCAGAATCATAGCATTTGATATACATCTAATATGTGGGTATATGCACATGTACTTTCTGTTTTATTAACATGTTTTCCCCATACTATGTAGGTAAACGTTTCCAGAATTAAAATTACATAATTGGCATACAATCAGACAATAAATCAGAACATAAAAGCTATCATTATATCACATAAAATTTTAAAATAATGTTACTCATGTTATTGTTAATACTAATAGTGCATGCTTAGTCGCTCAGTCATGTCCAACTCTTTGCGACCCCATAGACTGCAGCTCACCAGGCTCCTCCATGGAATTCTCTAGGCACGGACACTGGAGTGGGTTGCCATTTCCTACTTCAAATAGTAATATTAAGCATATACTGATCTCAAGAAACCAGGCTTGATATATAGTTCCTTACTTAATGCTGATAGTAATCCTCTGTGTTAGGTCTGATTATTACTCCTTAAAGAAAAATAAACCATATTTTTACTAGGCTTACATTCCCAAATTCACAAAGCTAATAACTGGAGGAAGAAAATTTAAGAATATTCCTGCCAAATCCATTACCTGTGTTATTAATCATAAACCAATGCTCCATCTATAATTATAAAACTAAGTGTCTTAATAATTTTCTGAAAGGCAATAAGCTTATAGAAATAGATAGCAGAAGGAGCTTATCAGAAGACACCATCACCCCAACATACTAGAAATGGACCACAGTGAAAAGAGGAGCTGATTTGCCAACTACATAGAGGCTCCACGTTCAGAGCTGGTAATGTGGAAAATACAGCATGCAAGGCATGACTGAAACAGGACATCATGCAACAAAGTCTACTAAAAGGCTGTCTCCACATGTTTCACTCCACTTTCATGTTAGTTAAATAGACAGCATGGCATTAATCTCTGGCCAAAATAAGAGAAACTTTTCTAATAATAGGTATAGAACAGACTTTTGGANTCCTTCAATATCTCCTGGAGTTTGCTCAGATTCATGTCCATTGAGTCAGTCATGCTATCTAACCATCTCATCCCCTGCCGCCCTCTTTTTTTCTTGTCCTCAGTCTTTCCCAGCATCAGGAAAGAATGCCTTTCCAACGAGTCAGCTCTTCGCATCAGGTGGTCAAAGCATTGGAGCTTAAGCTTCAGCATCAGTCCTTCCAGCATCAGTCCTTCCAGGGTTGATTTCCTTTAGGACTGACTGGTTTGATCTCTTTGCAGTTCAAAGGACTCTCAAGAGACTTCTCCAGCACCACCACTAGAAAGCATCAATTTTTCAGTGCCCAGCCTTCTTTATGGACCAATTCTTACACCCATACATGACTACCATAAAAACCATAGCTTTGACTATACAGACTTTTGTTGACAAAGTAATGTCTCTGCTTTTTAATATGCTGTCTAGGTTTACATATTTAATATGCTGTCTAGGTTTACATATTTATAAATACATATTATATTCCTAAATTAAGGACAAAGCAATTCAAATTTTAAAGACCAATAAAGCAATATTTTTAGAATATGTTTAGTCATCCTTCCTTCAGATAAAATTTACTAGAAAAGTTAGAAGACAGAGTTAAATATTGGAGGGTACCCATTCCCTTGATGCACTCAGTCCTTTGGACAGCTCATGCACACTCATGGTATTGCACGTCAGTCACAACTCTAACAACCTCCAAATGTCTAGTTCCATCCTGAAGGTGTTCCCCTGAACTCCTGATCCACACACCCAACTTTCTACTTGTCACTTCCATAGGATTCCAAAGTTTTAACACTGAAAAGACTTCTTCAAATGTTCCTCTGCTGTGCTGTGCTTAGTCACTCAGTCATGTAGACTCTTTGCGACCTCATGGACTGTAGCCCACCAGGCTCCTCTGTTCCATGGGGATTCTCCAGGCAAGAATACTGGAGTGGGTTGCCACGCCCTCCTCCAGGGGATCTTCCCAACCCAGAGATCAAACCCGAGTATCCTGCTTTGCAAGTGGATTCTTTACCATCTGAGCCTCCAGGGAAGGGCAAGAATACTGGAGTGGGTAGCCTATCCCTTCTCCAGGGGATCTTCCCATCCCAGGAATTGAACCGGAGTCTCCTGCATTGCAGGTGGATTCTTTACCAGCTGAGCTACCAGGGAAGTCCTGTTCCTCTGCTAGTCTTTGCCATCTCAGCAAATATCACTTTCATCCTTCCCTTTGATCAAGCCCAAAATATTTGACTTATGCTTAATATTTTTTCTTTGATGTGCCATATTCAGACTAAAAACAAATCAACGGAACTTAGCCTTCACATAATTTAATAAATCCATTCACTTTCTAACTTCACCACTACTGCCCTGGTCAACCACCATGACCTTGGTTATTTTAATAAGCTGCCACACTCTCTGCTTCTCTTTGTGGATCTGCATTTCCTTTCTCAAAACAGCAGTCAAATAAAGCTTTTTATAAAGTGAGTCAAATTATGTAATTCCTGTATTCAAATCTTTCCTCAGGCTTCCCAATCCATTCAGAGTATAAATCAAAATCTTTATTAGCCTCTTGGTTCTATAACCCTCAGTTCTGGTCTCCTATTTCAACCCTTGATTCTAAACCAGCTACTCTGACCTCGTTTCCTACAGACTTCAGACAAGCAAGAACAAAAAAGAAAATAAAAACAAAAAATAAATTATAGAGCTAAAGCAATTAAAACAATATAACAGAAAAAATTATTAGCATATTAATGAAACAACTCTACTCCCTCCTATTAAAACAATGAGTTATTTTCTTTAACAGGTTCTTGCTGGGGGCAAATCACTGAATTTTTCCCAGCTTTGTTTTAAATAATGAAAACGAAAAGAGTGGAAAACAAAATGGAACTCTAGTTTCCTTCCTACTCTAAAAGATTCTAGAGTCATGGTATTTAAGTTCCCCCACCACACTTGCTACATTATAAGTATCTTTGTTACAAAGGTAAAGAAAAAAATGAGTTATTTTGATCATTTAAAAATACTATGAACTCAAAACCACCTTAATTTTGCCACTTAGCTTTTCAACTTAAGGTTTAAATTAATGGTGTGTGGTTAGTCGTTCAGTCTTGTCTGACTCTCTGCAGCTCCATGGATTGTAGCCCACCAGGCTCGTTCATGGAATTTTCCAGGCCAGAATACTGGAGTGGG